AAGTTAAATAGTGTTCGAATAAGACATGATAATACATAGTGTAGCATAGCTCTCAACGAATGTTGTCCTATAAATAAATGAATAAAGAAATTGTGTAATAAAATGCCTCTGACGGGGTTCGTACCTGCGACCTCTCCCTGTCAAGGCGAGCGTCATAACCATTAGACCACAGAGGCTTCGTGGTTGAACAGATTCAAATAACCGCCAAATATACTCTATTACACAATGACTGGAAATGAATAGTTGCATATAATAATAATCAAGATAGCCGTTAACACTGTTAAATTATATATAAATCATCAATACGATCCCCTTCGAGGCATTTTATTACACAATTGCTTCATTTATTTATGGACAACATTCGTTGAGAGCTATGCTACATGATGTATTATCATGTCCTTTTTTTCAAACACTGTATTTATCTTTCTTTGGTTATTTATATATAATTTAAATATAAAGTTTAATCATTCTTTGTTATTGTTATATATACTTATGTTTGTTTGTTGTATTTCAGATTCGATATTATATTTGTCCTTGTTGAAATTTGTTTGTAGGGCCGTCCTACCAGCAGACTTTCGTCTGATCTTTTCATGTTAGCAAAACAAGATCCCATAAATCGTTTTATTTTCAACGAATAGTTCCCATCTGGAATAATCTTCCTTTAGCAATTCGATCAGATCCTTATTTTCTATCTTTCAAAATCGAAGTGATTGAATTTTACAACTCTCAATTGAAATCTAATTTTTCCTGATAATCTGCACTTGGGTTTCATTTTGTCACTGTTCTGGCTGTTGTTAGATTATGATATTTTTCTTTTCTTAATTTTAATTTGCAAATTGGACATATATTTATTTTTATGCAAATTATATTTATTTTTTATTTTCAATTTATCTCACTCCGGTTGTAACTACGGCTCTGTAGAGGTGCTCGTTCACCTGTTCTGTTCTTGCCTGTTAAAGTTGAATACAATGAATAAAATAAAAGAAGTACAATAGAATCATAAACTGAGTATTATAAATATCATTTTATCTATATTCATCTATAATAATAAATACTCGTTATAAAGTAAATAATTTCATGTGCATTTCAAATTCAGATATGCATTGTATGTCCTTGAAACATATCGGGGCTTTTTTTGGTTTAACCTGGATATTCCGTGTTGATGTGTTTTTGATGTGCTACATCATTGACTGTATTTTATATTTTGTTGAAATTTATCGATTACTCAAATAAATTCAAATTTAACAAATCATAAACATCGTGGATATAATACAATGGAAACAGCGTAATGGAAGGGATCAACAACGTACACTCAGTAAATGAATTACTAGAATTGTTCGAGATGGTAATTAAAATCTT